GCTCTTTCCTCGTTTTGACCAAAACCTTAACCCATTTACCTCCTCCGATATATGTAACCTTCAAACCCCAATAATTATCCCATCTTAAACAAGCCCGTTTAGGCGTTTCTTTTTGTTGTTGTTAACAGGCAATGAAGAAAAACGTCTCGAAGTCAAAACCCAAGTTTTTGCACTGTTTCCGACCGGTGGACGTGGACATGGTGTTCGAGACCAAAGCTGTCCGGAGGAGACAAGTTCGGACTGTCGAAAACAAGGAGGACAAGAAGGCGGCTCTGGTGACGAAAACCATGTCTCTGGACAGAGGGTTTTCTTCTCCGGCGGATTCTGAGAACTCGAAAATGCCTCCTCGTCCGAGCCGAACTTTTTCGAAGGCGGTGAAAGCCGTGGTGTTCGAAACTATCTTGGTCAGTGTTCTGAAATCCTTAATCTTTGATGGATTATAGATTCAGGGTTTTTTTTTTTTTTTTTTTTTTTTTTTTTTTTTAACAATGTTTTTCTGTATTTTGCAGGCGAAGAAAGCTCGTGATCGGAAAGTTTGCCGGCAGGACTCGTTCGGATCAAAGCGGTGTTTTTCGCTCAGAAGCGAGGCGTCTCTGAATTTGGGAGGCGATGAGTCGGTGAAGAAATTTGAAGAAACAAAACCAATTTCTGAAATGTCATTACATTCTCGTTCTTCCAGTTCATCATCGTCCGCATTATCTTCTTCGAGTTCGGTTTCGGAATCCAAAAGGTTGTCCAAAACTTTCTCGGACCCGACGAAACAAAGCCTCCGGAATCCTCAAAACCCCGCGGCGAAACCAAAGAATACGGAAGTGGTGTGCTCCGGCTTCAACTCCGGAACATATTTTCTTCTCATCAGCCTTGCAGTGACGGTGTTTTGGGGCAAGGCGATTGCAATCCTTGTCTCGTCGATCTGGCTCTACTTTTTTCCGTGGCGGAGTTCATGTAAAATATCGCCGGAAAATGTGAGGAGGTGGTCGGATGCGGAGTGCAGGGACAATAACAAGAGGGTAATAATGGAAGGGTTGATTGAGAGGAAAAACCACCTCCACCACCACCACCAGCAGGGGGAGAGAAGGCAGTAAATTTCGACGTGAAAATTATCTGTTTCGTGTTTGATGCAGCTTCTGGTTGGAAAGGACATCAGGGTTTTAATTGTGTAGGTGCCTTATGGTACATGAGGAGAAAAACAGAACAATCTGTATTTACATTTACTTCTCCTCTGTTTTGTTTTTTTTTTTCTTGTGACCTGTGACTTTTATGTGGTTTAAGTTCTATAGCCATGCCACACAAAATTGCAAGTGGTTTTTCGTATTTGTGTTTGATTGTGAAGAAAATCTTGATTGTAACCAGGGATACCTCTTAGGCTACAATTTTTATATTTAGAACCCAACCGATGAGCATCTCTTGCTTTGCTTTCGCTCTCTTGTGGGCGGGTACTCCCTAATCACAATATAAAAGTGTCTCACTCATCATGTGATTTATCGGTGACAAGGCAAAATCACTCCTAATTGTTGTTTAGGCAAATTTGAGAAAAATCCAATACTTATGAGATTTGGCACACCATATCTTCACAATGTTGATTTGAGAAGTTAAAACGTTAATAAAAACTTGTGCATAACCTTGTAAATTGAGATAAATTTCTATATAATGTCTGCCTAGAGTAATTCTCTCACATTAAGTGAGCTCAGTATGGGGTCAAATGTGATCAAAATAAACAGGGTTTCACACTTTTGCGAAACCCTTAAAGAAAATTAGAAGTGGGTATGTGTATTTAATTGTGAAAAAATATGATTAAAATCTCGATTGTAACCGGATATTTATCTAAAGATATGAATCTATATCCAATATGCAATCAAATGATTTCCCATGCTTTGTTTTTACTCCGCTCATGTACTTTGTGTCCCTTACTCGCTACATACAAGTGTCTCATTCATCACGTGATATCTCTATTCATCAATGTGCTTTCAACCTCTTTATGGTGTCAATATGAGGTCATTGTTTAGACAAATTTGAGAAACACTCGATGCTTATACTATTTGGCACACCATATACCACAATGTGGTGGATTTGAGCAGTAAAATCTTATAAAAACGTGTACATAAACTGCAACTGATGCTGATGCGCACATTGCACATTCTTATATATTTATTAAAGATACTTTTCTTTTTCTAATTTCTCAGCATTATTTATCGAGGAGGTTCCAAAGCATCTCTCCCATGAAGGATCAACTTAGCTATCAATGCACTATCTGTGCTTGTCCATTTTGGTTGGTGCTTTGGGCATATGAATGTACCTAAATAGGGCAAAATGGCCTCCTCGATTTAAACCACGCAATTGATCTCATGCCAATATCGAAAGATCTCAAAATTGAAAAATTGTATAGTGTGTCAGGAACGTAATTTAGTATACAAAATGTCATAGTATAAATGATTGTAAATTTCTTTTTTAAAGTATTTAACCACTTATATTATGAAACTTAATATCTGAAACGTATTTCTGATACATTAAAATATTCTTCGTAAAAATTTAAATATCATTAAAGATCTAGAGAGGCATACAATTCTTTACTACCCTCCCAAAATTCATAAAGATGGTTTGATTTGATTTGGAAACTTCTTTTGTCAAAAAATTACTGCGCCTGTCATAATATTAATCTCAGTATATTAAATGGGTGTTAGCCACGAGGATTGTAGGTAGTTGAAGTATTCGTTTCCTGTGAAGTTGTAATGTTAAAATAAAATGGGAGATCACATTTTTATTATAAGCGATGTGAAAAGTAATGCATGCGATGAATTATACATTCGATAAAATAATTTTATTAACTGTTATTATATGTACACATTACACATCATGTGATTCTCAAATGTGACACACAAATGTAGTCTTTTTAATATTTTCCAAACAAAGCATGAGAGAAGTATTGATTTGGTTTATGATATAACCAAATTATGTAACTTATCAATGGTAAAGAATGAGAGATTCTTAAGTGTCATCAGTTATATACTTATATGTGCTTGTTTCTCTTAGCAAACAAACTATTTGATAAGATAATACACATAATTATATACAATATGGGATATAAATAGATTTTTTGACAAGAAGTTAGAGTGCAAGGTATCATAGATTCATATATGGTTCACTGACCCATGACTGTGCTTTACAATGTTTGAGCTTTGAAGTTTTTTTCCTTCCCCCTATTTCTTTAATTAAAGGGAATATTTTTGCTCGTCTTTCTCAAGTGATTATAATGTTAACCACCTTATTTATTATCATAAGATGAGTTTATATTTCAAGATTTGTGTAATAGATTAATATAAATCTTAACATTTAAACTCATCTAATTGTAATAAATAAGCTGATAAATATTACCAAGATTTGAAAGTGCTGAACAAAAATACATCCTTAATTAAATCAAATCAAAATAAAAAAGTTGTCTTTTGCTCTTTTTCTCTACTCTTTTTTTTTTTCAAGCTCTTTTTCTCTACTTTGATTAATAAAAGATCAAGTGGCTAGGCAGGGATTTATTTAAGGTTTTTATGTCCTTCAACTGTAAAAGGAAGATCAGAAAGAAAGGGACAGCGTGCTCTGCTTTTATCTAGATATTTATTGCAAAAGCTAGAGAAAAAGATAAGTGTTAGGTCACTCACTTAATAAAACCCCGAAAAATCACACATATTCTTGTTTTTGCATTCAACTATTAATGGAGAAGAATTTCTATAGTACGAGTATATTGTTATAATAATGTTTCGTATTAATAATAAAAGTGTGGAACAAAAAATAATTTTGAAAAATGTTGGAGCTGACACATGAATGTTTATTCACAATTGACGAGAATAATCTTTATTAAATTAGTGAGGCTCACATCCATTCCGTGCTCAATTCAACTACAAGAAGACCTGAGCCATGGACTACACTTTTCTCCAAGCTCATATGTTCACGGCAAAGAGATAAGACGAGATTAAAAATAAAATTAATAACTAATTATTACTTCAAGTTTTCGTCGGCAAATACTTAATTCCTCTATTCAAAGAAGCACAGTTAAATTCAATCAAGTATTCTACGAGATAATTCTAAGATAATGTTTTTGAAATTATTTCCTGCTTCATTCAAAAGATGATACACTTTGGTCAATTAGATGGCGACATATGATGCGAGATCCCTCACTCCATAGTTGGCCCTAGTTCCTATGAATACCTCATTATATACCATTTTTTTGGTAAGCTTGTGCTATACAATTAAGTGCTAAACTCTCTCTTTTCATAGAAACTGATTTAGCCATCAGAGATCTATTGGCCAAACAACACACCCCATCCCACACCCCCCCCCCCACCAACCCCAAAAAAAAAAAAAAAATTAAGTGCATGTGGCTTTGGTCTTTGATCAAAGTTGTTTAATTGTCCTGTAGGTACAATTTTGTTAAGACTGAAAATGATAAATTCTTGTTAAGTATATGTAGAGAAAAACAACATTATCCGTTTATTATTAGCACAAAATGTCAATGTGGCAATATACAAATAACATTCAAGTCATTCTCAAACTTAATGAGCATTGAGGCAGGCACTGCAACTCTGCCGTGTGGCAGTTTCTTAACACCAATACAAGTCATAAGAGACGACTGGATGTAAGTACAAACCATAAAAAGGGGCACAATAACAATAATGGATGCAAAAAGGCACCCAACTCTTTGTTTTGCAGCCTTGGAGTTTCACATGTTCCTTGAGATTTAGTTAAAGGCTTTTGCATCAATAGCAAGCTACGGGATGAACCCTCTCAGGCCAAGAGATTCTTAGTTATCTTCGGTTTCATATCTCCTTTTGTCTAATTGTTTTATCAAAGAATCACCAAGTTACGTGATAAGAGGCAGAGACACGAAGGGATTCTCTCCTCCTGTGACATGTACACACTTTTCATGGAATTCTAGAACAAAGATGAAAAAGGAACATCACTAAATCAATTTCAATTTGTTATCTAAAAACTAAGACACAGAACAGAAGAACAGAAGAACAGAAGAGTACATTTCCTTCTCCTTTTACCCTTTACAGATCCTTATCCATTTACAATTCTTCTTCCCTTTCCAATTTTCGCTATGTAGGCCAACTCAGATCACAAAATCAGTTCACTACGCAGGCAAACTCAAATTCACAAAACCGGAAAGAGATGGTATTAGTTGTATGTAACTATTTATGATGTGTTCTTCGAGAAATGAAGACCTCGTAATCCGGCTGCCTGTTGGAGACCATGACTTGATCCTTGCAAACGCAAACTCTTGCAAAACTTAATGCATCAACCTCCAATGTTCTGAGCCTTTCTTTGAGAATTTCTGCACTGTTAGAAGTAGATTCATTTGAAGAATGTCAGAAAGGCGTTTTGGGATCAAACCAGCATTCACCCTACAAGAAGGATATCCAGAACAAGTTTCTAAGCGGGAATTTATCAACAAGTATCAAGAGTGAGCGAAGAGTCTATGCATGAAAAGTTCAACTTTTTAAATTCTAAGCCTCATACTACTAGGACTTACAGTGTTTCCAGACACTTGCAAACTGTCACGGAGCGTGGTTTTATGCTCGTCAGTATTAATAGTTGATGTCTTTTAATGGCTTCCAACCCTTTCAGTGACTAACTGTTACATAGAAAGAGTGATACTGACTAAAATCTAGAGCATGAAAGACAGAGTATTGATTTCTTACATGTGCATTGTGGGTTTGCAACCCTAACACAGGGCGGTGACTTGTGTACTTATTGGCAAGATCTACTGAAATAGGTCTCCGTACAAAATGTCCAAGTGAATGGTAAGTTAAGAATGTTGCGCGCAAGTTCCCTTCTGGAATTCGATACATAGGGTACTAGGCCACTGAAAACCTGAAAGCCAAATTAGCCCAACTTTCTTCACTATGCTAAAAATTAGTTACATATAAAGAAAATTGAGTAGAAAAACTGATTCTCACCAAGACTCAGGATGTAAATCGTGCAAACTCAGACAATCTAGCTTTGATGGATCACCAAACATGTGTTGATAGAAGTTTCAACGTCGGTTAGCTCCAGAATTCTGCAATCAAACAGGAATATCTAGCTATTAAACCAGTGACATTGTATGTCAGAAACAAAAGGATAAACAAGCAAATAAGAGAAGTGAAGAACATACAGAAGACCAAAGCATGAAACTCAATTAGGAACCAACATAGTTGTTATGAACACTTTTTGAGTTCTTTGAGCGCATGCCGAGATTCTTATATGTAACCTGTGTATAGGATATAGGGCAATTTCTCACAGCCTAATCAACTTACTTTTTTCCTTCCATTGTTGTTTCAAACATGAAACAACCCTACCATATCATTATTTTTATATTTTAAAGGTTCATTTCTATATCTTTGAGTTTCTATCTCTCAGTCTCAGTTCAATAACTTGATAATGTGCGTACAGAAACTGAACAGCTAGAGAAGTAAATGAGCATTGTTAACATCCAATCCAATTTTATTACTGTCTACACAAACTTTGCTAGTACAAGATGGATAGAACGATGATATCTTATCGTAAGAGTAGTAAGAACATACTTAATGCACAAGGGCTTTCGCTAACATGGCGTCTCAGATTCAAAAAAATTCAAATATGAGCTCAAAATCTGGTGAACATTCTAGACTGGACAGGCCACTTCCGTCATGTTTCTCTGTCCTTGCCTGAAGATGGTTCAACTCTGCTGCTTTTGAAGAATGTGTGAAATATAATGTCTTGGAACCATGGTTATGGGGTCGAAACAATTGAACAGCGGGAAAGTAAGGAACAAAATGGGCACAAGATGGCATTGAACCATTGAAGTTTTATGAATCATCTGCCTGGACCTCCAATCCGTCGTTCCCTGGTTTCTCGTACTAGTTCCAAACACATTTTTTATGCACATATGAAGAAGCAATAACAGGGGCAGCGCAGTGGATAAATCTTTCAACCTCTGCAAGTGGACACCCCATTGTAAGCTGACCAAGCTCGGATGCTAATTGCATTCTGTAACAAGCAAGTATTTGGAGCTTCCACTGCCATTTGTGAGCCTATCAGGAACTCGCCGGCGTCCTTTGGTCTTCAACCATTTGCTTCATAACCGTTACTTTCAATTTTCCGATTCTCTATTTCAGCAAAGGCCTTGTGAAATGTTGGCAGTCATAGGACGCCGAAGGCAATTGTTGGCTATATATTGGGCAGTCAACAGTATCATCTCACAACCTTGCATTTACAACCTTGTATTTGGAAGGAATAGGAGGGTTAGGGGGACTTTGCAGTTTAGGGTTGTGAAATTTGGGAATTTGGGGGTGATTTGGGAATCATTTGGAGCTAATTAGTGTGATTAAGGTTTCAATCTTCGTCTCAGCATTCAAGATGTTTATTTATGTCAAGAAAATGGTGGGGCCCAACTGACGACGATAAAAATTTGGGCGGGAGGTTTGGGTAAGATGGCCAAAATACCCTTCACCTTCTGTTTAGGTTAAGGAAAATGCCCAATATGAATGTATCACAGTGCCACTTAACGTCCTTCCTTGAGGATGGATTGACAAAGGTACCACGTACCATTCTATGATTCAAGTAAAATTTTCAAGTTCGAGAAAAAAAAAATAAAGTTTTCAAAACTAACGGTCTATCACTTATGCATTATGATATGAACCATTGCTTATTGGGATATTTGAATAATATTACAACATACCTCATCAGAAGCCATCTATACACACACACACACACACTAACACATAGAGATACACACACACACTAACACATAGAGACAATTACTTGAGGATCAAACTCAATGACCAGATAGAAAAGGCACATCAAAATGCTCACTGATGCTCTTCAGATCTCTTGGAGATGGTTGAAGATGGGGAGCTCTTGGTTTGAGAGGAAGCCGTTGATGTGTTATTGCTCCGTGGGCGTGAACTCTGGCTCGAGGATGACTCAGTGAAGAAGATTATCTGCTCCTGGTCGTCTCCTAACAGTTGAAGAGCTCTCGGAATTGGCGGCAAGTTGACATTGGAAACCGCCTCGAGGATTTGTACCACCAGCCCCATAGACGGCCTCCGGGCCTCATCATCCTGGACACACCAGCAAGCAACTCTACAAACCCTTGTGAGCTCTTCTACATCCACAATGCCATCGAGCCTCGGGTCTAATAGGCTCAGCACATCGCTTTCTGGAGTACTAATCTTGCTAGCAGCATAAGTTGGGAAGAACCTAACTTTCCCATCTTCAGATTGCTCAGAGTTTCTTCTCCCCGACACGAATTCAAACAGCATCATTCCGTAGCTGTACACATCCGCTTTCACTGTGATCGCCACACCCGAAATCCACTCCGGTGCAAGATAGCCTCTTGTGCCTCTCATGGTAGTCAAGACCCTGCTGAACTCTCTTCCAACAAGCTTTGCAAGGCCAAAGTCTGCCACTTTGGGGCAAAGTTCAGCGTCCAAGAGAATGTTTTCCGGCTTTATGTCACAATGTATGATGCAATCTCTGCATTTCTCGTGAAGATAAGCCAACCCTCTTGCTGTCCCAAGTGCAATTTGGTACCTTGTTTTCCAACTCAAGACATTCGGATGCTGATCGTTGAAAAGGTGAGAGTCTAAAGACCCATTCGGCATGTAATCATAAACCAACATCCTTTTAGCACCTTCAGAGCAGAACCCGCGAAGGCGGACAAGGTTGACATGTTGGATTGTCCCAATTGTGCTCACTTCTGTTCTGAATTGCTTCTCCCCTTGGCTAACACTTTCGAGCTTCTTCACTGCTATGACAGACGAATCAGGCAATGTCCCTTTGAAAACAGAACCAAAACCTCCTCCCCCCAATTTTTCAGAGAAGTTCTTCGTTGCATCTTGCATTTCTCTGTACCCGAATGCCATCAACGAACCCTCTACTGCTTTTCCCATTCCAGTCCCTCGCTTTCTCTGTCCCAAGATTACAAACACAATAAGGCCTAAAAGGACTGCTAAGCCGGCAGCTGAGCCTGCCACAACACCAACAATCAATCCCTTGTTACTTTTAGAATTCTTAAACTCAGAAGCTGCAAGTCTGAGGTATAAAGTTGTTCCCTGGTCGTCACTTGATGTTAGTTGTTGCAAATTCAAGAGCTCTCCTTCCCAAATCGAACATCCACTTGTGTTATAAGAATAAGCAGTGCAAGAGCAGTTTCTAAGGCAGAACGATTCACATTCCGCAATATTCCCAACCTCCACAGATTGTTCATTTTCAGGCAATGACATGCTAGGAAGTTCAAGAAACCGGTCTGGCTTCCTGTTCACACTAGTAGCATTTTCACAATGCAGATCGGTTTTTCTCTTACACCCACCAGAGTAGTCCTGCAAATTCCAGTCTCTCTTCGCCTTTGGCTCAAAACCGTTCAAGCAATTACAGGAGAGCGCGCTTACCTGATTGCAAGTTCCGAAGGCGCCACACAAATCATAAACTTGGCATCGTTGTCTTGGTTGAGACCAAAACATATTCCATTGCCTGGAAGGCTCCAACCATGTCAGCTGTTGAATCTGCCCCGAAGTATCCATCACGAATCGAGAAATTATCTTTGGATCATAAAGAGAATAGGTGAAGTAACTCTCGTTTGCGTTCGTAACAAAGTTGAAGTTGTATATATAATTGAGCCTCATTTCCGGAACCAAGCTGAAAAGCTTTGATTTTGCATCCCATGGTCCACTACTCCAATACTGCCTAGACCTATTCCACCGTAAGAAATACGCATCGCTCCCGTTCGGGTCTAACTCGAGCGAGAAAAGACCCGGTGCAGGATCCTCCGAACTCTTCCATGAAGTAAGAATTTGGGCTTGTTTGGTAACAGCGTTAAACCCAATTCTAGCTCCTGGCAGCCATGTATGAGCCGGATGATCAAAGCTTTGCCATAACGGCTCTGACGTACTATTACTAGACCCCTCTCTCAAGACCAGGTTTCCGGTATCCGAAAGAAGTGCAGTGGCGGCGGAGGAGGAGGTTAAATTCGTTGACCAAACGGGGGTTTTGGACTCGTTAAAGAGAACTAAATTACCATCTGAAATCCTTAAAACCGAAGAAAATCTGTCGGAAACAGGTTTTTCTCTGTTTGCCACCCAAACTATGGTCCTCTCGGATACTAGTTGTTTGGTGTACCATATGCCTATGTAGAAGTTTGAAGAATTACCTGGTGCGAAGAAACCGAGCTCGAAAACACCACCGGCGGAGACAATGGTTTGATCACCGGAGAGAGATTGGTTGGCGGTGATGGAGTCGGCTGCAAGGGAGACATGGGTTCTGAGGAAGCAGAAGAAAACAACTGAAAGCACCAATCTTTTCTTGGTTTTGGTATCCATGGCTGCTCAAAGCAAATTTGCAGACAAAGTTTAGAGAGAGAGAGATTTGGGCCATATAGTTTTGGTCATTGGGTGGAGGGTAAACTTGGGCAGCGACGTACAGGGTCAAAGTAAAGATCACATCCATGAGCGGCTAAAATTCAAAGGTGAGCTTTTTTCTTCTCCTTTCCAAAAATCCAACTGAGAATCCATTGCCGGTTTGAAAGTAAATTTTTGTCATGAGGTCAGCCAACCAAACAGTAGAATTGGACAACATCAACTATATTACTATGTGAGTTTTTTCGGTTCCGAAAGAATGAATTGTCGTGACGAAATATGATTGATTGTGTAAGTGAGAATTTATTCCGTCCGATTAATGTTTAATTAATGTCGTTTAGAGTTGATTGAGTTTTTGAAGCGGTTGTAATCTTTTTATACAAGTCATTTGTATTAAACATTGTAATCATTCAAAAATTAATCAATACAACCCTTTGGAATTTCTCTCAATTTTCTGATGGATTTCAGACTTTATTCTACAAGGAAGTACGTTAGTAACTCTTTTATCGCTTTGTACTGCGTCACATTTGAACAAACTTTATACACCACCAACAACAATTCATCGGTGAAGACCATTTCCACCAAATAACCTACGGAAGAGAACAAAGTTGAGAAATTGGACCCGACTGCAAGATTTTCCTTTCATTGTTCTGACGTGTTGAAAAGGCAACACAAACCCCTTTGATTAATTTTTGTTTCAATGCTAATTTCTGTTGTTGTAACCCTTCTTCCAGGGCAACTATTTTTCCATTCAAATTAAACATCTTTGTAACTTTGACGCTGGCGGTTCAGCAGGATCATCACATCACTGGGTTCACACGGAAGCAATCTCAGCCGTTCAGTTTGTTGTTTATGGTAATTTGATAAATGTTCAAACCTACCTTACTACTTATACTTCAGAGGAATGTACGAAATATTAAAGGCTTAATAATGAAAGGGTCATAAGCATTGCGTATGATTTGGTTGCAGGTATCCATCTTGACCTGGTCTAGGCTTTTTCTGCACTATAATAGAAATTAGGGTTTATTACACTTTGGACCTTTGTGATTAGAATTCAGCAAAAGTTTGGTTCATGTCCTTCAAAATTAACAAGAACAATCCTTAAAGTTATAAGATGTTTATATTATTAGCGTCTCGGTCTGTCTAACTATCAAGTTAACTATTATTTTATGACGTGACAATTGGTTGTTTTTTAACACAGGATTAATACCAAGTGGACTGTTTTTGATCAATTATTATATCTCAGAGGTTGAGGTACCATTTTAAGAATAAAGTTACTATTGTTATACAAACTAAGGGTGGGCTTGATTTCATTCGGTTTAGTTTCTTCTCAAAGCCAAAAATAAAACCGAAATTATTATTTGGTTCAGTTTTGCAAATTTTTTTTTTTTGGCGTATTGGTTTTCCGTTTAGTTTTGAAATTTTTCAAAAAAAAAAAAAATCTTTTTCTTTTTTACTTAGAAATTGGAGAGAAAATGAAGAAATGTTATCTAGGGAATAAGACTATCAACATAATTGGGCTTAAAGTTAAGTTTTTACCTAGCTTGGGATTGAAATTAGACTAATAGTTGACTTGAAATTAAACTTTAAAAAATGAATATCCAACATAAATAAAAAATATATTGATTTGTATCTCACTGGGTTCGGTTTTTGAACCACCAAAACTAAAACCTAACCAATCATTTTTGGTTTAGTTCGGCTTTCAACCGATTTGGATTTTCGACTTCGGTTCGATATTCGGCACAATTTTTTCAATCTTCAATTTTTCGAGCCCACCTCTCATTGAAATCTTAGTTGGGTCGGTCAAAGAAGATCAACGAGGAAAGACGACACCATGGCCCAATGAGAACCTCAAAAGGGAGCCGAACTGCCCGTAAGTGCAGTGAGCCCCAGCGGCATAAGAGGGCTCAATCATCCCACAAGTCCAAGGGGCAACTACGGAGTATGGACCGAGTCGCTCTGCGCCGCCAACAATTCCCTGCTGTTGGTAAAACCGAACCGAACTAAAATGGTCTTATTTGGTTTACTTACAGTTTAAAAATAGGAAATTTTAACAAAATTTTTTGGTACTGTTTACTTTAATAAAAAATTATATTTTTACACTAAAAAGTCAATCTTGGTACTATCCACTTTACCCTTTATTTTGTCATTTTCGTTAAAACTCAAAATTTTCTAGTCATTTTTATTAGTTTTTCTTTAAAAATATTATTACCGGCAAGGGACGTTTGATCAATGGTTCAGGCTTTGGACCAAAACGAAACTAGGTCATCGCAGCAACAGCAGACTTTAAGCACAATAGGGACTGAGAAACTTGAGCATTTGTTCTTGCACTCGAAGTCAACACATATTCATGGTCTCAATTTATAGAGTTTTGACAAAGATGGAAAAGAAGAATTTGTGGAGCGAGGAGTATGCGTTACATGATGACGGGAGCACCAAACTTGGTTCTTTTTATTTTTATGAACCTTGGTTTAGTTTGGTTTCTTTACGAGACTTGGTTTGAGATTGAATAAAAAAAGTGATGCCTTGTGACTATGCAATTTTACAATTAAGTCATGGGCACTCCTAATTCGTAAGTCACAGTATTTCAACCTCACTCTGTTGTGTATGTTATTTTATGTGGATGTCTGTACATAAAACCTTCTTCTAGAGAATGCTCTCAAACATAATGGTGCTGTGTCATCCAAGAATGATCAGTGAGTAGGGTTCCCTCGACTTGGACATGAGAGCCTTTCCAGCTATCTCCAGCTTCTATTTGTAATTGATAGTGTGATATGAATAAGATAGAATGGTAAAGGCCGTTCAAACACATGACTCACACTCTCAGCCAAAAATGACCTCCTCTTCACAATTTGGTTCCAGCGAGCTTTTAAAAGCCTACACAATTCTATACTGATTTCGCGTCGTTTATCTGAGTGAATAAATTAAACGAAAACAACAAACATCATTAAACAGAAATATACGAGAGACTATAAAATTTGTGTACCTAATGTTTTATGTTTTACCGTCTAAATAATTCATGCGACGAGAAAATAAATAAAAAAGATAATACAACAGTTATACGGTAAAATCTCTCCTAACCCTATATATATATGTGGATGATTGATTTATCAATACTTCAAATAGAACCTCCTCCGTAACAGTATTATAGTTGAGAACCCATCAAACTCCCACCGAAGTCCCAAGTACGCAAAGTACTCGATCGTAACTTCGAAACAATGAACCAGCCACCGCCGGTACACATCCAACCATCCTCCCCGCGGCTAACCAACACGATCACCCCAACACCTGATGGAACCCACCGGAAGGTCGCGATCGCCGTCGATTTAAGCGAGGAGAGCGCCTTTGCCGTCCGATGGGCCGTCCAGAACTACCTTCGACCCGGGGACTCTGTCGTCCTCCTCCACGTGCGACCCACCAGCGTCCTCTACGGCGCCGACTGGGGCTCCGTCGACCCCAACGACGCCGTCTCCTCCTCATCCGAGTCGCAGCAGAAATTGGAGGACGACTTCGACGCCTTCACCACCACCAAGGCAGCGGACCTGGCGCAGCCGTTAGTGGAGGCGCAATTTCCGTTTAAAATCCACATAGTGAAGGACCACGATATGAAGGAGCGGCTCTGCTTGGAAGTCGAGAGGCTCTGGCTCAGCGTCGTCATCATGGGCAGCCGCGGCTTCGGCGCCACCAAGCGTGCCGCAAAGGTCGGCAGGCTCGGCAGCGTCACTGATTACTGCGTGCAACACTGTGTCTGTCCCGTTGTGGTTGTGAGGTATCCTGATGACTCGGACAGGTCGGGCGCTGGCGGTGAACCCGATGGCCCGGTGGAGCTCCACCCGGTGCCGGAAGAGGACCCGGAGGAATTCAACGACGGTTCCTCCTCCGATAACAATGACGCTCATGGTAAATTCCTTTTGCCCTGAACTGTAAATTACACTAAATAATCGTAAATTGACCCCTTTTTCTCTTGTTCTGTTGCAGAAGTCGAATAAATTGAAGGTTGCGGGGTTTACATAGCAAATTGAAATGGATTTATGGCTACTCTTGTAATTTCGTATTTGTTCTGCAAGTGTTTTGACCTTGCGTTCTCTCATTGTCAGACTCTAAAAATTGTGGTGGTGAATTTGACTGTTTGTCTCAGTTTGTATAATTGCAATGCATTTTTTTATTTTATAGCTTTACCCTAGTAATTGGTAATTATCTTTTACGCATTTTAGTCAAAATGATCATGTAGATTGTGGAAGTTTCTCGTTGTGGTCCTTGAGATTTGAAATCAATAAAAGTAATTCATGAGTTTGTCCACCGTTCTATTAATTTTAAATCTCAGGTACCAAAGTGAGAAGTTATCTCGCCTTTGAGACCATTTTGGTTTTTTATTTTTCTACTCGGGAAACAAAGAAATCAAACATAGAACTTCGGGTGTAGGCAAATGTTGCCGACTTTAGAGGCAGACCAGGGCTTCGCCTCTTAGGGTATACAAGCATACATGCAAACACAGGACTAGACGTATAGAAGGACTACGAGGTAACTCGGTTAACCACTTGAGCTACAAACAAGACATCAATGCTTGCAAAAGATAATTCAACCATTCACTAATAGGGTGTTCGGTAAGCACACAAAAAATACAGAATTTCAGAAGTTACACAAAATGCAAATGTAGAAATCCACACACCGAAACTCAAGTAATGTATATGATCCGATACAAAGCTTGAAATAAATTTCACATGGCTGCCATAGTTCCCTCACTCCGACTCCTGCGCATCGAGAGATCCTGCTTGAGGTTCATAATTCTGCTGCCCAAGTCGAAGTAGTGCTGCCGACTCGTCGCTGTTACTTTTGTTCCACTCGGAGGGAGGTGGCTGTGCCTGCCCCGAGACTTTTTCAGTGACGCTACAGATTGACTTGCATGACCGTGAGTTGATGAAGTCGATGGCTTTTTAGAAGATACACCGTGACTAGCCTTCCTTGGAGCCTTGTGATCGGGTCTAAGGCTGCGATCAAACTGATGGTTGCTAATGCCTAAGCGTACTGACCGATCTGCAGCGTCCTTGAGAGTGCTGGACTTGATTTGCTGCCGGTTGTAGTAAACCATGTGGGGAAGAAGTCCTTGCAGGTATTTCTTCAATTGGTCATCGCCGACATTCTTCTGAGCTGGGTTTCCTTCCAGGCTGATGGCTTGTAAGGAATTGTAGTTAGCCGCCAGTTGACCAAGACATTTTGCCGTTGAGATTTTGTTGAAGCGCAGATCCAGAACAGTCAGTTTTAGGAGGCGATGAAGACCCTCCACCTCACTGATTTTGTTTCCAGCCAAGTACAATTCCTTTAGAGACGAACAAGAGCTAGGCCTTCAAAATAATTTAGAAAAAATGGAAAAAAAAAATATGTTAGGACAGGAATTATTCATGAGTAATCAACAAGAAAGCCAGCAAATATATTAATACGTAATTCGATATATGCAAACTACCATGTCCGATTCTCAAAATCCTGTTATAGCTCAGGTCCAGTACACGAAGTCTTGTGAGTTCACGCAAACCTTCGATAGTAGAAATACCGTTTTTTGAAAGATTCAACATATGGAGTCCTCGAGGAAGAGCTCCAGCAGTTATCCTTACTGCAGCAAGTTTGCAAATGGAACGCTAATTAGAATGCAGAATCAATTAATGCAACGAATCATCACAAACACCATAACGCAGAAGCATACCGTAAGTAATAAAATATTCGAATAAAATGGAACAGATGAGTTAGATAGGCAAACCTATGGAATTTCCTGATAAATTGAGCACCCTGAGATTTACAAAAGCACTAAGGAATGGGATCACTACCAATCCATGATTTGCAAGCTGAGCTGTGGTGGCAGCTGCACTCAGAGAAGATATATATCGCTTAGCAGCTTCCATGCCAGGAGTGACCTTACCATCCACCTTCGCAGCAGTCAAACTGTTTGAATCATTGGACTCTCTCTTCACCTGATCATTAGATTGGGACAATTCATTCGTTTCTTCCACCAGACTGCTGCTATGCTGAAGATTATTAACCCACTCCTCGATACGCTTATATTTAAAATCCTTGTTTGGCAATTCATCCCAACTTTGAACTGAGGATTCTCCTTGGAGGTTTTTCTCTGCCCTTATCTCATCTGCAGGTGGCATTATCCAGTCCTTTGCAAAACTAGAGTAGTTACAGGAATCATAGCCATCATCGATGGAGTTTTCAATATTATCGTTCTCAGCTTTACTTACAATATCATCTCTTTCTTGTTCTTGCTTTACCTGCATTTCAGTCTCATGTACTGAATTCCCTTTCCCCCTCATCCCTAGGACATGCATGTCCTCGGAAGATCTTGAATGCACTGCTAAACGATTAACAAGAGAACTCTCTTCAGTAGCCAGAGTAGAAGCACTAATGTTTGCAAGAGAACAAGATTTAACAAGCCCTTTTGCAGTACGAGGTGTGAGGTCAGCAGAGTCATCAGCAAACTCTCCAGATGTTGGAGTATCACAGTTTTCATGGCCGTCCTTTTCTGATTGTAATGGTTCTCCAATCGAAAAAATTGATTCATTATTGACAATTTCAGAACTTACTTGACCAAGGTCAGAAGCAGGAGTTGTCTTAGATGGTTGAGGTGGGCTGTCTCCTCGGTCCCTACTTCCCTCGGGTACCACCAATCCATTCCGATGAAGAGAACCGTCAGAAGAAACTCCTTGATCAGTCCCGTCCCCAGCATCATTGTCAGCAGAAGCCCTCCCCTCAAGGTATAATTCACTTCCTAGAGACCTACATTTTATGGGCCGTGCTGCCTGAGTAACCTTGCTGCTACTTTCATTGATATAGCTGCTTTCCATATCACCTGCTTTCCAATCAGCCTCAAGGGAAGACACATGCTTCCAACTGCTGTTAACTTGAGAAACTCCTTTAGACTGTGATGGGTTTACGCTTGATTTTCCAGGCGAATCCTTCAAAACTTGATTTCGAGAAGAAGTTTGCAATGTTTTATGCATTATATCAACAGAAGGTTGAATACTTTTCTGTTTGAAAAAGAAGACTCAGAATCAAAATAAGGAATGGACTATAAAACCAATCAGAATAAATCAGAAGTGCCAACGACCTGATATGATGATTGTTCAGCTTACCTTAGGTTTGGGGCAATGGACGTTAGCTTGGAAACATGAAAACCTAACCATTGCTGGAAAAATATAAGAGCTAGTGAGCTACATCAACACGCGAACTACCTTTGACTACGCCAGAAACTATCAACGAGAAACTATTGTGCTCATTACTGTCTGGAAACCTGTATGAACAAACTGACCTTGCTAAGTACACAGAAAAACTACCATCAAACTTCCGAAAGGGCAGCCACGAATGTCATTAGCCATAATCAAGCGTACAAACCCACTGAAACACGGCACAATCTCCAGATGTGTGATGATCTCGATCTCCTTAAAACACAAAGCAAAATCACTCTCTCATTATTACCCCACACCTTTTTAGAGGTGCGAGAGGGAATTGATTTTGCAGTAGCGGCCAGACTGAAAGAAAATATCTGTCAAATGGAGAAGAACCCCAACCAGAACATGCGCCGAAATGCTGGCCTGATAAAAGAAGGAAAAACAAAATACTAAGACTTAGCACCCCACGCAGTAACGCAAAACATACTATATATAATACAGTAATTCCAATCGAGGGACAGGCAAAATACAACTTTCTACGAATCCATGCCAAAAAATAGACTGAAATCCCGTGCTTCCTGCTTGAATTCATGACCTCCCACCATTTCCTCGTATGCACACATTATAGGCTCGTTTGGTGCATAGGATTGGATTAGACAGGAATAACTCATAAGATCCAAGGTATGTTAAAGTAAGAAACAATCAAGGTAGAAGTGAATGGATAATTTTTTTCTGTTTAGTCTAAGGTGTTGATGACAACCACTTTGCTAGGATTTGAAGCGATAAGTTTCTTTTGTAAGTAATCCATATTCTATCTTGGACCAAAATTTCTTTAATTTTTTCCTTCAACGTGCCTTAAAATCTAGCGAATTAGCCAATCCAATCCGAGGCAGCAAATCAACCCAAAAACCATAATGTTCTAATCATGTTTAACTCAACTTTCATTGTTTATGTTATACTTTGCAGTAGACAAACATTATCATATCATTAATTGAGTGTATTTTGGCTCACCGCCTTAAAATGATGGTGCCATCGTATTAATTACCGTTAAATTAATTAAATTTTGAGAATTGTGCAATAAATAGATTAAATCCAATTCACCTAGAGGTAATCAATGGGATGGTGAGCAAATATATTTCCAGAAAGATTAAAAAACATCAAGATTCTGTGAAAGGCAATCAAACACAACCCATTAGAGGAAACAACCCAGAAGTCAAAAATAAACAACAAGAAGACGTTTTTACATCAAAAAATAAGAAACCCACAAAAGAAACGCAAAGATTACAAATTTCAGAAGCAGAGATCTGACCTCCCCGTTGCCAGATTGTAATGGAAGGCAGCGGTGAAACGGAGAAAGACCTTGCCTTTCTGCTTCTTCGTCTGTAGCAGAGCCACAAAGTTGCAATTTTTATTTACTTTTTTTTATTTTTTGGATTTATTGGTTTGGATGTATTATTAATCCATGGTTTCGAATAAACGGCGCGAGAGCTAAATGCCAACCCTAAAGCTCGTCCTGGCTCCGATTTTATACGCCCCAAAAAAGCAACGGCTCACAAAAATTAAGGGAAACTACGAGCTGAGAAAAATGAAGAAACAAAAGAAGGACACGGAATTGGAGAGGAGATTGGATTAGATTCTGTTGATTTTTTGCTTGTGTTGGTTAAGTTCGAGGATTTTGCCAAGAATTTGTGCTTGCCGTTTGTCAAATAAATGGGGGAGAATTTGCGTCCACACACGCACCGATATGCGAGGAGGGTCCTTGGTCGCCAAGCCACTCTTTATTTTACCCTTCTTTTTTCTTCTTTGGTGCTTTTCTTTTTTCTTCTTTGGTTTTTATTTTTTATTTTTTTAATTTTTTAATTTTTGTGAGTACATCGATATTTTTATATTAAGGGGAGTGAAAGTTCGGTTGAGCCACACAATGGTAACCTAATTTGGTATCGAATTCGCCATTCATGAGATTTAACTTAAGATCTCTCACTTCCAAGTGAAGAGGAATATCAACTGATTGTAGTACTGAGTGGCTTGTATTTTCGATTTTAATTTCAAATCTCTTATTTTTCATTGAATAAAAATGTGTATTTTTATTTCATTTATTTTATGCAAGTGACATTTTATGTCCCAGGTTGGGGTAGTTCTAGGTCCCAGGTTCGAGACCTGGTGTGGGCGGGGTAGGGTGGGAAAAAAATATATTAAATTTATTTTAATTACTGAGAAGGGTATTGGTGTTTAAGAAGAGCACATTATTCTAGTCAATTTAGTTATATTTAGGTTAGGTCTAAAAAAAATGTGATATTATTTAGATACACTAACTAGCATACCTGCGCTCATACATTCTTTAATATTGGTGGTCCAGTTAAATATATGTCAAAAGTTTGTCAGTTTGTATGTCCAAATAATTTTATTGATAAAAAACACGTTAAAGCAACGTTGAATATCATCCAAGTTAGGGATTTTGCAACAATACTTACATGTTTAATGCAACTACTATCTCGATGGTCATATGATGATTTTATTAGTTACATATATCACCATGCATATATCTGACGACCAAATGATTATATTAAACACATATAAGTATTCTAATCAATCTCCTAAATTATATTATCATTTAATTGAAATATGATTCCTTTCTTACATAAATTAGAATAAATTAGCTAGAATATCGCATAATCAAAGAAAACATATTCTCAGTTTTCTTTCTTTCATAGAATCAAATTTTCATCACATATTTCACTTTAAATCTTCCTAGCAATTCTCACCACATCATATCTTGTTGTTTGTTTCACAATGTGAATCGAACCTAAACACATATTAATCATAACACATTATTCTAATTCCAAAAACATAACATGTGACAACTTTTGATTGTGTATTCTAAAGGTAATTTTACCCTTTTTTTAGAAACATAAATAAACAGAAAAATAATAACCGCACATTATTATTAATTTCTCGCACACTCTTATTTAATATTTTTCTGTTGTTTCAAATAAATTTTATTTAATTTCACGGCCGTACAAAATAAAAGATACAATATATTTAGGATTTAGGCCAGCAATATGGCCAATAAACTAGGCACACGTAATGAGGGTAGGTGTAAATAAAAATGGTGCGAAATTTAATTTTTAAATTATTAATTTTTTAACACACATAGCTCATTATTTATATAATGTAACACGTAATATATTATTTTATGTACCGATCACATTGAAAAACCTCTCGGGAGTTGACGTAGGCCCATAATTAGGAATTTAGGCCCATCCCGTCTTCTACCTCAAGCTTTAGCTCGAGAAAGAAGCTGTTGGCTTTCCGCTATGGCTTCAAAGCTGCTTCCGCTGCGACGGCTCTCGAGGAGGCTTCTCAGACCTCCATCTTCTCCTTCTTCTTCTTTCACCGCCTCCAGGTCGTGCTTCCATATTCTAGAAGCTAAGAAATCTCCTCATCTCTCCTCGAACAGCCACGACGGACCTCGTCGTTGGATAGCTTCCAGAAGCTTCTGTTCGAGCCCTTTGAATCTCGATGACGATACTAATATTCCCGCCGCCATCGATTACCAGTAAGTCTCAATTTTCCGTCAAAATTTTGTATTCTGCTTGGTTACTGAGAAAATATGGAACGAAAGTTTTGATCTTTTTCTCTAAGAAGTTGTAGGAAGCAGAAATGTTGCTCCAACTAAGTTAAGATATGCAGAAATAGTACAAGGTACACAGTTTTAATACAAAAAATAGAACATTAGTGATAATAAACCGTACATTAGTCGCGGTTTAGCGGCCTTTTATTGTCTGTTTAGTGTTACGCCAGTTTTATTTTTTACTAAAAGATTGTAACCGGTTCTATTTGCGCATATTTTTCTTTATTTTTTTCAGTTATTCATAAATTGGGAATTCTAAAGATACAGATTTTGTGTTCGGATTGGAATTTTAGCTGAAATTGCTGCTTGGTTCAAGGCGTAAAATGAATGTTGCTAATGAGTTGATGCGCATACAGTTCTGTACTACAGGAGGATGAATTTCACAGGCTAGCTGATTCTACAATACAAGACCTCCAAGAGAAATTCGAGGTATTTCATTTTTTCCGTTCCTTTTCGTGCGGAGTTATTCGAGTTTCAAACTCGTTATGCATTGTTTTCTTGTTTTGGTACATAACACATTTTGTATTGTTATGCATTATGTTTTCATTGATGGTTCTACCTGGCAGGAATATGGAGATTCTGTTCAAGTCGACGACTTTGACATAGACTATGGGGTGAGAGTGGCTGGTTGTTGTTTGAAATTGATTAAGTAAATAGGAAAGTAATGTAGTTTTTGGCAAGTAATTGGGTTTGCATTTGGCAGAATGAGGTGCTGACCTTAAAACTCGGGGATCGTGGTACCTATGTTTTGAACAAACAAACACCAAACAGACAAATTTGGTTGTCTTCCCCGGTGAGGTATGTTTTCTTCTGTCGCCCTTATTGGATTCAGGTTTGCTTGTCTGATTGTGTCTCGTATAGTTACACTTTTGTGAGTCTATATGTTGGTTCGTTCAAAATGTCTGCGAGTCTTCTTGATACCTTTGCTTCATGCCATTGTTCGGACTGCATGTTAATCTAAATTTACAATCGAGGATCATTTCTCTGGGAAGAATCAATCAAAGAATTTCATTATATCCCTTCTAAGATCATTCTATTTCGTCTGGTATTTCGTAGGAATAAACGGTATATACAGATAAAGTGGAGAATCCATTTTTTGTTCCTTCTATTAAAACTAATAAAAGAGACCTTCGAGGGAAGGATTAAGGATTTACCTGGTGTGAGATATCACATTGTTCGAGGAACCCTAGATGCTGTCAGAGTAAAGGATCTCTGAATGAGCAGTTCTGTGACGTGGGAAACTCTTCCATTATGTACTTAAGAATGAAACTGGATGTATCCTCAACAGTCTATACCTTAGTCTGTCACACTATACCATAGTGCACACATATATATTGAAATGTGTGAATGAACGTATTTTTTAATCATCCGTTGATGTATTACTGCGTGTCCATGAGTTTGCTTCTGTGTCCATGCTTCTTCATATTTCCTTGATAGCGGCATTATTTTTGAGCAATTTGTACACACCTTTGCACGTGCTTGTGATCAGAAATTAATGCCTTAAACTTATGAGTGAATTATAAATTACAGAAATTTGAATACGATATTACAATGTTCTAATACTGTCTAGGTTCTTAGCTGAAGCAAGAACGGGTATCAAATGGCGCAGGCTTGAATAAAACGTCTCCTACAAGATTTTGGAAAGGAAGCTAAAAATTTGAAATTGAAACTAATTTGTAGGAAATATTATCTGATTAGCGAGTGGTGACTAGAATCTTGAATGGTAGCCCTTCAACTGGAACCTGTGACGTTCCTTCTCTCACGTGGAAGAATGTCCTGATGCCCTTAAACTCATGAAAGGGAGGGAGTTTGATGGGGCGGAGGGTCTTTACTGTTTACGCATCTTCTATATGGGAAATCCCATCCATTGCAGCACATTTTTATACATAATCAATCTCAGAAATCCATGTGCTCAGTATTCTGTGGAGATGTGACTCACTGAGTTACCATCATGCATGTGCCCATTATTCTTGGCACGACGTTGATGTATAACATGTTTCCAATGTGGTGGCCATTGACATGTCTTTGTGGAAGCTAACTACATTCATTGTAGCTTTGAGCCTTGTGTTTACAGAAGTGGAATGCTTTACTATACTGCCATGTCAATTGTGATGTAAACATGGTCTCCCGTAATCACCATCTTGACAAGTACTTGTATTAATATTGTAATCCCATGATAGAAATTTTCGTGCTCATTCTCCTACCTGCATCTTGCTCATGTAGTGTTAGAAATCCACGGTCCTGTTTACTCCTTACTATTTTGCTCAACTTCTTAATAATTTGTCTTTCGTTTTGCTATAAGATTTATGTTCTTGATGCAGTGGTCCTCAGAGATTTGACTGGGATCGGAGTGCTCAAGCGTGGGTTTATAGGAGGACCAAAGCTTGTTTATTGAAAATTCTAGAGAGTGAGTTGGAGAAACTGTGTGGTGAACCCATCAGCCTTTCATAAACTGCCTCAAAAGTTTGGTAATATAGTTTCACTTGGAAATTCAACCGCCTCAAAAGTTAGATAATATTGTCTGAAAATTTGTTTTTGTGTAAATAAAATACAAGATTTCGAGCATTTCAATAAGCAACATACTTAAGAGGCAGGCAAGAACTTCATTTCATTTCTCCAATTTTCTTTCAATGCAATTATCTTTTAATTTCCCTTCGAGTTTTTTAGTCTCGCTAATTAATGTTAATGAAAATTTCGAAGCGCAGCTTATGACCTACTGTGACAAAAATTTATACATTTTGTTTTAGTTTCCTTCTCGCTTAAGCGGACGAGATAACCCTCTATTCGATTGAAAATTTGACAAATTTGACAGTTATACCAAGTTCAATGACCATGGTTCAAAAATATTGTATGTGGCTGGGCTATCAGGGCACTCTATAAACCCCAACGCTACCATCACAGCCACAAAACTGTAATTTGACTTAGGCATAGTGCTTTTCCTCACCGTGCTTTTCTGCATAATGCATGACGAGCACCTCCTGGTTTCATGCATTACACAAATAATGGATATTTTACAGAAGAATAAATCGCTGTGAAGTGTCTATTCCGATAGAATTAAGAACTTGCTTTTTGTGTGTTGTCCCTTTCGTTTGCAGACAAGGTAGTTTCAAATGTAAGTGGAGAAGCAGCTTTTTATTTGAAATCAAGATAGAATAATCCTCGGATTCGTACTGGTAAAAATATTTTGGCTGGCATACAAGTATGATCCTCTCAATTATTCACCCAACGTACAACGCGCATGAAAGAAATTTTTTTAAATAATTAAAAACGCTCTCAGACTATAAAAAATGTTTTTAAGTTACAAAGAAGTCCTTGCATTTTTATTAAAAATTTCGATGCGTTTCTAATAAAAAATCACTTATTGGAAATTCTTTTAAGTACAGGTGTTTTATAAGTTTTGTAAATTTGTACTATTATATCCACTTACAAGAAGTCGAGGATATATCTTTAATAGTATACAATAATCTCCCTTGAAAACTATATCAACGCATCAGTATATAAGATAACATGTATATTATAGTAATTTGGCGTAAAGGTAACACTCATTTAATTTTGGAAACCAGCTGAGTGGTTAGTGTAAAACGATGGCACTATTAAGTTTTTGTCAGGAAGCTAAAATGGGTAAGCACGATGCAAATATTCTAATCCAAAACAAGCCTACTATTAGCAAGGGCGGTGAAAAAGATTACTTTCTGCCAAGATACTCGTTGGATTCTTTTGGTGACAATCTTAGAAATTCGTAAATCGTGTCTGTTCATCATATATTGTATGATAAGTTTTTGTCAAGTATTGTTTATGTTTATTTTTAAATAAAAATATTTAAAATAATTTATAACCGTACGATGAACGATGAACAGACACAATTTATGAATCTTTGGGATCATCACAAAGAGAAACTGACGAGGGCATGGACCCTACTTTCTGCAGCTGGTTTTTTTATTCTCTCAAACATCCCCTTTACCAATTTTTGTGGCCAGAAAACCAAGTGAAAATTTAGATGAACCTCCATCGTTCAAGGTGGGAAAGGGTACAAACATTTCACCGTAAACCTTGTGACAGTCATTTTTTAGATATTATTGGTTAAGAATTTTATTTTTGTTCTAATGAAGAAAATTTATCCACAAGTGATCGATTGTTCTGATGGATAGAATTGTTCTTGTCAATAAATTGCATCAAGGATTCAAATCTTCCCTATGCCCCTTTCCTTAGTCGAGTTTAGAGTGGAAATATTGTTTGTAAGAACCATTAACTAGCCTTCCAAGAAGTGTACTTGACAATTGTCCAAACTCATGTTTATTGATTGGTAATCATTAATGGATGTAAACCCCACGATCTATCAATTGAGAAAAAACTTGAATAGGGTTGTTTGACTAGTTAGATAGTTAAGACACTCTCAAAGAATCAGACCCACACACAATATTCGATATCATCCAACCGTTCATTAGCCACAAGCTCGCTCTTTGAAGTGTGACCTAATCAGCGGGTTGATCAAGCTCTTCGAAATATTTTCTTCGGGCAACAACTGATAATCACATACGTGGGTTCAATCCTCCAAGACTTGTTAGAGCTCTCTTCAACCTACTCATGGCTAGATTGATCGGTTTCGGGTCAAATAGAAAGAAGATTCCAACTCTGGAAAGCGCCTACACCTAATGGTTTAAGGCAAGCTAGTATCACTTATCTTCTAATTTAAATAACATTTTACAAAGAATGGGATGGAAAACAACCCTCCCTTTTGTCACTCCAAGTGCTAGGAACATACTCCCTCTTTTGTCACCATCGTGGTGTCATATTTCATCAAGTTATGGTCAAGATAAATAAAAGCACCTACCATACTTTTGCTTTGGCTACTAGTAATATCTTCCCTTCAGACTAGGAATCTCTCTCTTCTTCTTTCCATTCCCTTCCATCTCTTCCTTTCACATTCTCTTATTTTGTCTTTCTCTTGTTATAAAAAATTAATATAAGATATTGACGTGGCTTAACCGTGACCGTTCAAATAAGAGGGGAGGGAAGGGGAGAGAAAACAAGAGGAGAGAGAATTCTACTCCCTTCCGGACTAGTGGGTTAGAAATTTTCATAAATAAGTACAACTGCAAACACCACCACCACATAACCATTCGAACCCTAAAAGCTTCAAACAAATATCCACCACAAGAACCAAACCTCTTGATCGAGTTCAAATCCTTTATGCTAATTTGCAGAGGTTATTATTCTTTCTCAATAGAGAAAATTGTAGCAATGATCCTTAAATTTTAACCTAATTGGAGCAATGGTTATTCAATTAAAAATTTATAACCATTGATTCTTTAACTTATCAAAACATATAGCTATGGTCATTTTCGTCAATTCCGTCAGAACTGCTGTCAAAATAAATTATGTTAGAAGAACCATTGGTACAATTGGACTAAAGTTGATGGACCATTGCTCTAATTCGGTTAGAGTTGAGAGACTATTTCTTCAATTGGTTTAAAGTTGAGGGGCTATTGCTACAATTTTCTCATTCGGTTTTTCATATTTGTCCCTGATTCAGCCTCTCATTTTGGCTAAAGTTCTAACAGAGTTGATAAAAAGAATCATAACTGCACATTTTAATGACTTAAGGGGCCACTAGACAAGAATTTTAATTGAATGATCGTTACTACAATTTCTACTTCTTAATAATTAACAATCCTTGAAGACGAACCAAAACAATGTATTAAAAAATATGATTGGTTGATGATCTTGTGGTGTTCTGCTGAGAGCCTCTCCAGCCACAACCTGGTTACTTGGGATATTTTTCTCGTATTATTCTATGATAAATCAAATTAATTAATCATATAATAGAGATTTAATTTCTCGGTTTTAGTAAAGTGATTGAATCCTTGCATAAACGTTTGGCCTACTTGATGCGACGGCCGGCCATAGACCTTAAATTAATCAACTAATAAAGGTTACGGAAAAGATACTAATCTTCATGTTCTTCGTTAATCAACTTTGTTTATGGTCTTGAGGTAGATATTTGTTGAGAGAAAATAATAAACAAACATACAAAGATATCCAAACCGGACAATGTTAGCAACTAAGATTAGAACAAATTATAGGTACTTAACAAAACCCACTAGCTTGTAAAAATCAAGAGGAGAGAAACTACGATAGGTTGAAGCATTTTATTAGCGTAGTTTTTAAATCACGTGAGATAAACGTGTTAGTTGAAACGTGACACGTCTTAGTTTTTTGTAAAAGCTGGTCTTATATTTGATGTAAATCAGGTGAGTAAAAACGTTTAGGATATTAATCAAAGGTTGAGAATTTGGACAAGAGCTATTACATCGTGACCGTTGATGCATATGATACCTACGACACATAAGTGGTACGACATTTACCTGCCTGTTGTTGATCTGATACTCACGACACAAGAATGGCTAGACTTTGAAGGTGATATAATAGACACCCCACGACACATGAACAATAAAAATTATTAGCACCAATTTTTTTTTTTTAGTACATTAATATTTTTACATTAAGGAAAAAATTATGTTAAGTCACATAATGGGCAGGCTAATTTGGTATCGAATTTCATTCACGAGATTCGAACTTAAGACATCTCACTTTCAAATGAAGTAGAATATCACCAGATCGTAATACTGAGTGACATCATTAGTATAGTTTAAATACCCACAATGTATTAACGATCATAATTCTCTCACACGTGCAGGATCGATTAAATCCGGAACATCACTATGAGTTGGTGCCTGCTCCCCATTGTGTTGTGACTCGTGAGACTATTATGCGTCATGGCATTGTGTGTTCAAAGGACAAACGCATTATGTACCTTCAGAAAGGTCCCAATCTGATGAGTTGATATGGATAAGATGAGAATTTTCTTCGGATTATCTTTGTAGGATCTTCGAAATTCTCACATCATGATCTTTCAACATACATTGTATGGATAATTTTCTTTAGCTATTATTTCGGTTTAATTTTAAATAAATAAATTCTCCCAACTTGAATCCAAATTCGTCAATATGGACTAGGGCTTTCTGACAACTGCCATAATTCTAGGAGGCAGATTGTCTGCCTCCACAATTCTAAAGACAGAGGCAGGCAGACCATCACGATTCACGCCACCTCCATCCATCATCTGCACTCCTCCACGAGGACTCGGTCTTTTCACCTCCACCACACTCAAAAGTCAAATCTATTCCTTGCAAGACCGCATCTAAATCAACCACCTCGAGCGGCGGTTGGGATGAAAATTTTAACCCGTATATAA